ACATACATATATATATACATTTTTTGTTCAGAATCATAAACTAACTGAGGATTTTTACATTCGTCCGGATTTGTGTTTAGACGGATAATTTATTTGCAAACGGTGATTTTTCTTGCAAACTGAACGCATAGCTTTTATAATGGAAATGGAAAAAATGTTGGTGTCTTGTAGCTCAAAAGCGAACAAACATCCTTTAAAAAAAAACTTTAAAGCCCAGAAATTGATTTTGGTTCAGAAACTCGTCTCTCAGATGTGTTTTATCAGTCTTAAAGAGAAGTCCTCGCATTTCTAACGGTCGCGCCTCACAAGACTACTTATAGAAAAGGTTTCAGATTATTAATGAAATATTTTCTCGGTGATTCCCTGTTCGGTGAAATCGGTTGGTTAGTCCTTGTTCATATTATAAAGTACTTAAGTTACTGCACGACTGCCTTTTGAGGATTTTTATAAAAACTGTCTGCGATTTTTTTTTAAATCTCTAAAATTCCATTTATTTGATCAAACTGACCTGAGTTCAGATGAACGCGGAGTTCTCCTCTTCACACCAAATGAACGCAAAACGACTTCACGACGATCCGCTTCGGTTTAATTTCAGCTAAAACAGCTAAACAAAGTTTCTATTGCTTGAAGACAAGGTTGATAACACAGACACTTTTTCCCCTTTTTCTTTTTACATCTTCAGTCAGAGTCCCGAGGAAAACAGCCCGCGTCGGAGTGAAAGACACCAGAGACGCACAAACACAATGAAACACACGCACACTCTATCCGAAACACACACTGAAGATGAGGATGGTATGATGACGATACTTCCCTCCTTCGGATCCACGCGTCTTTTTTTTTGTCGTTTTTCTGCCTTCTTATTATCGTTAATCAAACAAATAAATGAATAAAACTCTTATAAAGATTATTATTAACAGAGACCTGAGAGTAAAAAACATTAGAGTGAACACAAAACAAAAATTGACCTGAGATGTAATTTAAGTAAACAAAGTTTATATTAAATAAAAGAGTAAAAATTAATTAGATGCAGAAACAACATTCTAAAAAATATAACAGCATTTTAGTTATCATACAGTATGTCATTTAGTTTGTTTGTGGGAATCAACCATATGCACTCCCTATACCATGTCCCCCCTCAATCCAGACTTGGTTTGCCCCATAATGAGTCTGTAGCCTCTGTGACCTACATCATATCTTTCATGTCATGGTGTGTGTGTGTGGGGGGGGGGGGCTGTCATGGATTCATCATGGGTTCATACACTTTCAGCTAACTGTCAAATTATTATTAATTATGTTTCCTGCATCTAACAATGAAGACACTTTTTTAGCACTTAGCACTAGCATAGCACTTTTAGAAGTTTTCTTACACATAACATAGTAACCGGATGTGGGTGCAAGATCTCTTATTGACGCCTTATTTTGATATTGTGCTTGTATTGTGTCATACTTTAAAATTTTTATATAGCATATACTGTATATGACACACTGACACGCTTAACTGAGTGAGTAGATTTTATATCTGTCTAACCAATTGTATTAAACATTTTGTTGTTAGATATTTCCTGAGACATTATGTATATCTTGTCTTCTGTCTGTCGCTGGGTTTGTGGAAAGATCTCTCTTCATCATCCTAATTTGTTTTCCTTTTATTTCAAAAATTCTTAGAGTAGATGTCAAGCAGTTATATGATCACTTGCAAAAGAATGGTTTATTTGAAGAGTTTTAGTCAGGATTTAAAGTGAATCATAGCACATAATACAGAATTACAATAGTCCATCCTAGAAATAATAAATGCATGAACAGGATGTTTCTAGTTTTAGAGATTTGTTTAAAACGATCACCGAACATATCTTGTAAGGGTAAGACAGCTGGGTCAAGTGACGGCTTCTTACATTTTTTTTCTTCCTATCTTTCTCCATTCAGCCATTCGATCCTTATACAATCGTTGTAAGAGCTTGGTCCGGACTCATTCCTGGTCAGTGTTGGACTCTGCCAGACTTGCCCTTTGTCATTGATTCTGTTCAGTATTTTCATGGACATAATTTCTAGGTGTAGCCAGCTGGCAGAAGTGTCATTGTACTGGGTTCATGGCTCAGTGTTTCTATGTTTCTTATGCTCTCATGTGGCATTTAGTTTCAGTTTAGTTTCTAGTTCTTAGGCTTTTGTTCATTTTAGTCTGTTCCCATTTCTGCTTCCCTGTGTAGTCTGTCATGTCTATCATGTGTGCCAAGTCTCCATGTTTATTCATCTGTTTCCTAGTTGTGTCTCTCTTGTGTCTTACTGTGTGTTTCATGTTTCCTGTTTTATTTTGAAAATCTCCTGGCCTGTGTGCATTATGTTCAGTTTTGTTTCCCTTTCTTGTTAGTCTGATTGATTCCAGCAGCGTTTCCCTCCTGTTTCTCATCCCTTCGTT